ATGAGATAGAGAGGAACTTGCCTAACTGAATCGATGATGCAGCTTATTTACCATATTAATACAGTTTGTGTATCTATTATGTATATAAGCTTCATTGCCTATTCAATTAGACAGAGATTATCATGTTGATAGTAAGACTTTGCTTAACACATGATATACTTTAGTAACAGCGAATGCCCAACAGATGGCAATACAATAGGTATAAATTGAAATTAACTTGTTTTTTATATATCCAAAAGATTTCATTCTAAACTATGTGCTAATTATATTATAGTTTACATCTTACATCTCGAGTTTTTATGCTATCAATTCCAAGACTTTGCATTAGCCGAAGTATTTGTTCATTTGGTTGAATTTTGCTAGACGGCATGGTTGATGGCAAAGATAAAGGTATGTCTGCTTGCATCCACCTATGGCGTTTTATTTGCGAAACACTATATCGCTTCGTTGGATCCAAAACCAGCATTTTACGTATGAGTGACTCACAATCTGAAAAAAAGGAAATACTTAGCTGGTAGCTTACCTAATAGATTTTCTTTCACAGCGACTTCAATTAGTTACTACAATGATGTACTAAAAAATAAAAATATTTACCTACTAATGTTTTCCTGTTTCTATTATTATATTGCTCTAACGCTAATTACTGTTAATTTATGTATTATTTATTAGATGTAATTTCAAGTTATAACAAGTCTAAAAATAGTAATGTTTGCGTATAACACTGAAATTAAAAAATAAATATAGATAAGAATTTTCTCGGTTTCCGTCTACTTGATTAAAATAAGTTCCGAGTCCAATGACCCTAATACAAAATATTTTTTTGAGGTTTTTGTACAACCTATGGATAATATTAATATTTATATTTACTTTGTTTCACAAAAAATGTAATGACCCGGTGAACTGCAAAAGTAGCTAATTCGTTTCGCATTTTTCTGGCAGTCTAGGAAGACCTTGTCTCTTACAAAAACTGCTCTAAGAAGGGAAAATACTCAACAGTTATTTTGCATTAAGCGAATGTATCGGTAATACCAACAAAAGTGCATTATTTATAGACTAAAATAGCATTAATCGTTGTAGAATTAAAAAAAAAAAAATACAAAGAATATGTGGTTACAACAACAGGAAAATAAAAAGAAATGCAATGTTGGAGGATTCACTCCCAAGCATTTTGCATTATAATGAAGGCATGTTATTAAACAGTAACACGCTAACCTTCAGTAGTAAACTAATGCTAAATTACCATAGTAAAGTAGAGATTTTATTTCAACGTCAAGGCCCTTAATGCATGATCACAGGATATCTTAAAATAATGTTAACTGACGTCAATTCTGCGCTTGATCTTGATTCAGTTCTACAGAAACGGATTAACTATATTCAGATATATCTGAATGTACAATCCGTGCAGTAGCTCCAATAAAGAAACCATAAATTTGTAATTTTTATGAAATCTTTGTTGATTGCATTCCGAAACGTCAAGGTTCATTGCTTCATCAGGTGATCAATTATTATTTATTAGAAAGCATTCCGAGGAACTACACATTAATAAAATTAAAGATATTTCCAGGGACAAACTAAATTGTTTTAAAAATTTTGAGAAAATCCCTCGTCCAGGCTTTTAATAAAACTGCAGCGTGGGCTATCACGGTCATAGTCAAACTATAAGTGAAAGGCAAAAGGTGTTATTGCTAGAAATAAAAACGTTAGCTTCACGCAATTTTATTTTCTAATTGTTTATACTTTTAATCATTTTCCATTAAATCTTCATAAACTTATTCTTTTAAGTAGACATATTTTACCATAACATCTAGTACTTATAGGATGATTTAAGACTTGTTAAAGTAGTGGATGAAACCGCTGAAAAAACGACGAATAGAGAAAAAGGAGAGAGTGGAGAATCTGCAGCTTATTGTGAACGATTTAAAATTTAGGAAGAATTGGAATTGATACAATCAAAGAAATGACCATTAAGTTTTTTGTCACCCTTTGGACATATGTAAGTATGTACCTACTTATACCTATACGTGTGCAACGGTATCCTCAAGAAAATAGAAGTAAGAATAGAAACCATATAATTAGGTACATACAACACGGTAGAAAAAACAAGCAATATATTGCAAAGTTGGTTGATTGGTAGTAAATAAAAAAAAAAACGCCTAGGCCACTCCTCAGCCTTCATAACCCTCTCTTCATGTCTGTATAACCTCTTCGAAATCAGTTCAGCCGTTTCAAAGATTAGCCCATACAGACAGACATACAGATAAATAAGACAGATTCTTTTTGTCTTAATAATATTATAGTATACATATAAATAACCAGACGAGCTTAACACCAATGCAGCTATTTTCATATCACAGACAGACACTTCCATTCTATCAATTTTATTTATATGAATTTCAGCATTTTTATCTTGACCCCCCCCCTTGACAAATCTTGACTGTAGGTTTTGTACACATACTTAATTTTTTAATTTGCCGCATTTGCCGATAACAGCAAAGCAAAGTACCATTAGCGTCAATGTCGTATCCATGGAAATAGAATTGTGGCGAAAGAATTTTTATTGTTTTTTGTGTAAATATTTTGTACATATATTTCTTCTAAATTTATTTCTGTTATAATGCCTAATATGTCTTCAATGTAGATTTCGACTTCTTATCTTTTGCATGCCTTTGTTTCCTTTTTATTTCTATTCTATTGTCCCTAATCACCTTTACCTAAAAATCTAACTTCAACCGTTTCTGCATGCACGTCTTACTAATAGCTGACTTTTCCCTTAATTACCTTACCTAAAATTCTATACTATTCACATCTTCAATTCTTCGTATTTCTGTAAGCTCGTGTCTTCAACCCTTATTACCAGTCTTTGTCTATCTTGAGTATTCTATCTCTTTTTACTAACATTTTCCTACTATAAATACTCCTAACATCCCTATCAGAAATTAATTCATNATACATATATCTTAAGAGACTCGCACGGTAATTAAAATTAAAAGAAAAATAATAACGGTTAAAATAGCTCCATATTTAGCAAAAATAAAAATACAAAAGGATTTTCAAGGATTTCTAAAAAATAAGAAAGTAGATGTCATTTTTCTGTTTATACTTTTCCGGTTAATGTTGCATCTTTTATTACTTTATTTGAGACGTTTTGAGCTCATCGTAAACAACAACAGGAAGTGCAAAGAAGTTTGATACTTTTGTTCTTATAGTATATCATACCTACCGATGTTGTAGAAAAATTGTAATGCTCTTAAATTGCAGAGAAACACAAAAACAAAACGTTAAAAATATTTGTGCCGTTATACCGGTTGTAAAAGAGTGCACTTTCTTATAATATAGACTACGGAATTTTAAATTATACAGCGCTTCTTGGATATACGTATTCGCATGTGTAAGTGTGGCTTCGCACAACTCCTAACAGGTAGTATGCAAGGTGCGCGCGTAGTCTTTACAGCTATTGAAAAGAGCGGCATGTTATAATTCAATGCGAGCATACGCATTTTCGCATATGGTATGTATAACAACCACAGAATTACTAAAATTAACAAAATTAATGGCTGCTTAAATCACCTTGATATCCGACTACATAGCATATCTGTTGCATGTATTTTCTTAAAGAAAATGCCCATAATAAAATACAAATTTAAATTATTTTAAAAATTTATGACTGTGCAAGTTAAAAAAAAAGATAGGTAATCTAATTACCACAGAAACACGATTACATAAATTACTTCTGCAATATAGGTATAGTTTAATAACTTTTTAGAAAACAACAGTTACTTTTCCTTTTTGATTTATGTACCTATATAGACATCAATAAATTTTCCTACATCAGTTATCTATTTTTAAATCCTATATTTCTACGTTGTTAACTTGGTGAGTAAATAAGAGATATTTCTGTGATGAAATCTGGTAATTCATCAATATTAATATTTAATATGTAATCGATTAATTGCCCATTGAATCGATACAGAAGACACTCAACAGTGCGAACAGCACATAATGGAAACTTCGCATAATGTGAACAGTAGATTAATTGTGCTAGACCTATGCGCAATTATAGAAACGAATGCCTATTGGCTTTAAAAGTGGATATTTTGTAGATTTATTTATTATTATTCGTGTATTAACTTTTACCTGCATGATTCGTTCTTAGTGGTTTTGTTATCTGCATTCTTCATATATGGGTTTTTTTATGGACATCAAATGTCCCCTGTTATAAATATGAACAACCTTTTTCTTTTTTCGTTTCACATTATCGAGTGTCTTCTTATATTAGTGAGGCATCTGGGGTTCAATTAATTTATCAATAAATCAATTGCAAGTAACTGACTAATAGCTAAGCAATACTTATGCAATTCTATTCTACCGTTGTTGTTGTTTATTTAAAAGCATAAACAATATCAGAGTTCGTTTTTCGTTGGGTAATAACAATGAAGGTATGAAAACTGAAGTATAAAAATAGATAATATAGGATGAAGACAGATTTCATCACAAATTGAAACAGTTAATTTTTAGCGAGCGATTATAAATAATGATAAAAAAAATACCCTCAGGACTTACACGATTTTTAATTGTTATTGTATGAAATAGATATTGTCGATGTTACTTAATGAAATTGACAGCCGTAGTAGCGTTATTATTATATTAAATTATGCATATTATCATATTTTTTTTTCTGCGACGAGGATTGAATTGCAACAACTTCAAAAGTCATTAAACTAAGCCGACGATGATTATTCACAGGATTGCTTTCACATGGTTTCCGTTTGCTCAGTAAGTTCTAAGATGGGGCTCTCGCTGAGGGGTAATAACGGAGGCCAAACGTTACTTGGAAATTGTGGCCCCTAATAAATTTAAAAAGAAAAAATCGAAAATTGGTGTCATGTGTAAAAAACAACACACATTGAGCTAAACAAACTAAAAAAGAACGGGCATGCTATTGTTATTGGTGAAAAATCAAGACAAAACTCAGCTAATCAAATAATATATTTAGTTCTAAATGTAATAAAAGCAAAATAATACAACGTACCACATACGTTGCTAAACTAAGGTTAATATTCGATCAAAAGTATTACGCTCAACATTGATTTATTATTAAAAATCCAATACCATAAGGAAACCAACCATATGTACAGAGAAATTGAAATAAATGGGCAATTTGAAAGTCAAATAACTCTTGATTTCTAATCATATTTCACATTATGATACCAAATCGATCAAACTAATGTCCTCGATGATGGGCAATTGATAATCAAATGATTATTAACAATAGGACATCAAAGAACAGAGCAATGGGACATCAAAGAACAGATCAGAAGAAGGAACGCTGGGTGCTTGAACTGACGGTTCAAGGAATAATCAGAATCGATGTCAATTGAGGAGTTCAATAAAAGAAACATCAAGATAAGTAAGGACTTAACTAATAACAAAAACCGGGACACAAATACGTTAGGAAGTGTCGACAATGATCCGCTAAAGAACTTTCTTACTCAAACTCTCCTCCAAGGAGTTGATAAAATGTGGACAAAGCCAGGATACGGAGCGACGGCTACGCCAACTTTTAAACGTTGGCGTCCCATTACTTACATTCAATTAATTTATCAATTACACATCAAAGAGAGCATTGTTTCGATCGATTTGTTATCATTTAATGTGAGATATACACCCATTTATTTTATTTATCACCCTCTGTAAATTCCTTTTACAGGCACGAATCAGTAATTTTTAATCACAATCATCGATTCGAACAGAATCAATTAGTAATAAGCAAATTATTGGATTCAGAAAGTTGAGAGAAAAACTTTTTGATTGAACTATACAACAAAATAACAATAACGCAGTTTGTACTACTTTTTTGGGCTACTGTCAAACACATAGTTTTTATTTAGATTTTAGTAGCAATACGATTAATAATACTTTGTTACCTATATTAGGTATCTCAATAATACTCTCACGGTTTTACTACTATTAACTTATTTAAACAAAAAGACTAATTAATTTAAAAGATGAAGTTAGAGTTGAAGAAAAGAAATTCATAACTGACAACATAGCAATATGCATCACAGCCTACAATAATTAATTGCTTTTCTATTTTAATTTAAATAATTTGTTCTGTAAAGATTATTAAAAAGATAAAATAGGGTAGCACAACGTGACGGCGTTTAGGGTCAGACTCAACAGATGGCGTTCATTACGGCGTCAGTAGTTATTTAAAGTATAGAAAATTGTATACGTACTTTTGATTGTATAAGAACTCAAAGTTTTATAGAAATTATGGATATGTGGGATTCACCAAAATTTCAATAAAAACTTAGTACTTACTTCACATATGTATTGTATTTACTATCCTTTCGAAATTAATATTATAACATGTGTTTCATATTAACTTTTGAAAAATATGCGTATGATAATCGCAAATATAGTTACGGCCAAGAAACCGTAAAATTCAAAATAATACAAACATAAATTTTGGTTGAAGAAAATCTTTGGTTGCAATATTGTGTAAAACAATATCACCCGTTTAAAATAAAATAACTTTAATTAGGACAACTAATCAGCTAGAAGCATGTACTTAAAAGTTTTTGTTTTTGTGTTAACTATAGACGTTAATTTCTAAATATAAAAAAATACCTACAATACAAATATAACTTGTACCTATGACATAAGCATATGATAAAAATGAACTGACTAACGCATAAATTAGTTGTTAAAAAAATTGTAATGAATTGAAAGAATGTTATGAATTTGATTTCTCTACCCTAGTGAGTCGATTGAGTCCTTTACCGAACAAAATGACCAAAATTTTAAATCGAAGATTCAGTAGGTACGATAATTTTAAACAGCTACAATATTTATTTACTCGTGCAGTTACGAATTTCTTTTAGAAAGCATTAAAGGTACTTTCTAAAACAATCCCAGACATAAATGAAATAATAACACGTTTACAATACAACTACGTAAAATAATGTATGTATACAGCCTGCGTTAAAAGCAAGACTAGGAAGAGGAGGTTCGGCAAGGCATTCAACAGAAACCTGCATCATGAAACCACACTACAGCGGCTGGGATACCTGGTTCCAAGCGGGTGCTATATTTTGCCAGGGATGAGCTGAGGCGGCGTCAGAAATTTGGCAAGAAGCCTGGAGGCTTCCGGGAAGTGTGCTCCACGCTTCACCGGTACCTTCAACAATGGCCTGGAAAGCAACCAGGTCCTTATTCTCGACTTCGGTGTTGTGAGGCAACGGAGGAAGTACAGGTTGTTGCTGAGCGATTTTGTAACTAGCTTGTCTGAGCATATGCCTTCGCGACAATGGGCCACTTTCCAAGCTAATAGCACTAGAGGGTTGATGGGATGAGATTCCGCTCTGTTTCTGCAAAATTTGGCGTTTCTGCTGCAGTAGCCTATGTTGCATGGCCGTCTGCAAAGGCTCTGGGGACGAACTCGCGTAACTAAAACTATCTGGCAAGCTAATTCTCTTACTTGATCGAGGCTGCAAGTACTGGTTGTGTTGCTTCTGTCGATGAGACGCTTCTTCTGGTGCTTCTCTCGCTTGATACTGACTTCGAAGACGTTGGGCTTCCTTCTTTACCATGTGAAGCTCAAGAATACCTTTGGCTTTTGGGTTTTTACTTAGTTTTTGTGAGTTAAAGGCTACAACTTTTTTATGAGGAGTGTCTGCAGCCTGTTGGGCAACAAGCCCGTCACTAGCTCGTCGACCTTCCCGAAAATCTACGGGAGATCGAGTAAGACCTCTACTGGAACTTTTTAAATTAGGTAAATGAACTAAGGGATTATGCCTACTGAGAAGAGAACGGGAATTTATTAAATAACTGGGTGTTGGTGACGAGAGACCACTAAAACTGGTCAAAGAGGGACCAGGAACGGTCCTGTCCGCCGATGATGTACAACTGGGCAAACTATTTGTAAGTTCATTGGAATCTGAGAGCTGGTAATCCAGGCTTTCAAAATTACTATCACAACTTAAGTTTTGACTAAGGCTTTTGGACGTGTTAAAGTTCCCTACTACACCACTAGAGGAGCTCGATGAGGCATAACTGAGTCGATGATGACTTTGATCTTCCAAGTCCGTTTCCACGCCCTCGTCTGTTGAACTCGAATACTGAATGTGCATTTCACTGCTTCGATAACCACTAAAAGTACAAAAAAGTCAGTCAGTATGAAAATCATATACGCTTAATTAATAAAAACCGTACCTGGTGCTAAATTTAGGTAAAGATCCTTTATTATTGTCAGATTCTATAGATGATTGAGTGTTTTGAGAATGTAAGTAGGAATTAATGTGGCTCAAATATTCTCTGGCTGAAGATAAGTCTGTTTGAGGAGGAACTGGGGACGACTGAAGAGTTGCCATCAGTTTAGATGCTTCGCTTGACATTACAAAAGACATAGTGGTTGACTGTTGTAAAATTTTTAAAGCTTCGTCACTATTAGTTGCTGCAAGTAGTCTGGCTGCGTCAATTCCGTGAGGGGGAGAATCACAATTCCTCGGAGAATTACATGTCCTAGGGCTACTCAGCCTACTATTGCTAGAAGACGGGGCTGTAACAGAATGTTGAAGAAGTCTTCGACAATCTTCAGACGTACTGGCTCGTCCTATCTTTCGCATAGCTTGTTCGGCAATATTCGAAGGTCTTCGTCTTTGGACTTCGCGGACAGCCGTGTTTTGTTGCTGAGTTTCGTTCCCTATCAATTGGTTTCGTAATTTTTCTAATAGGAGATAGTATATTGCAGCGTGATGGTCATAACTTCCACATCTTACGGACTAAAATAAAAATTAAAAATCAGTCTTTAAAATTGTCTGCATACTATAGGGATTTGACGAAGGTGACAATATGAGATAGAGAGGAACTTGCCTAACTGAATCGATGATGCAGCTTATTTACCATATTAATACAGTTTGTGTACCTATTATGTATATAAGCTGCATTGCCTATTCAATTAGACAGAGATATCATGTTGATAGTAAGACTTTGCTTAACACATGATATACTTTAGTAACAGCGAATGCCCAACAGATGGCAATACAATAGGTATAAATTGAAATTAACTTGTTTTTTATATATCCAAAAGATTTCATTCTAAACTATGTGCTAATTATATTATAGTTTACATCTTACATCTCGAGTTTTTATGCTATCAATTCCAAGACTTTGCATTAGCCGAAGTATTTGTTCATTTGGTTGAATTTTGCTAGACGGCATGGTTGATGGCAAAGATAAAGGTATGTCTGCTTGCATCCACCTATGGCGTTTTATTTGCGAAACACTATAT